AGATTAAACATTTCGATAAATATACTATTGCTCGAAAACAAGGTGATTATCGAATGTTAATATTAGATAGACACAAAAGTCATAAATCGATTGTATTTCAAGAATATTGCAAAGAACACAATATTATAACTTTTTCATTATTTCCTCATTCTTTGCATATTACTTAATCATTCAATGTCGGATATTTTAATATTTTAAAACAAACATATAGTTAACAAATTGAAAGATATATTAAGGCTTATATCAACCATATCACCAAGGTCAAATTTCTTATAGCCTTCAAAGCAGTATACCTATAATCAATAATTATTCAAAATAGATTATCTGGATTCCGCGGAGCTGGATTAATACCCTTTGATCCTCAAACTGTTATTTCTAAGTTAGATATCAAATTACGAACATCTATGTTTACCAGATCTTTCTTTATAAAGCTCGATCCTTGGGTTTTTCAAATATCTCATAATTCGAACAATGCTTTTTTACAATCAACCTTAGTTAAAAATCGAATTGTATAATATCAAGAAAGCTCTTTTATACCTATATTTGAAACAGTTGTAGTTTTAGTTAAGGGTACAAAGATATTAGCTTATAAGATGATATTTATGAGTACTGAGATTTGTACTCTTCGAAAGGCAAATAAAGTATTAAATAAATATTGTAAAGCTAAAAAGAATCGAATTTGTCAAGGAGGAATATTTAGTATACAAGATAGATATAATATTATATTATAGACCGATATAGATAATCAGATTCAATGCGATGAATACTTTAAAAAAGATAATTCAAATAGGGAATAATCAACTTTACATTGTTATAGCTCTTATAGTAAAACTAGTTATAATATACGAACTTGTCAGGAGGATTTAGAAGACTCTAGTTTATCAGATTCTGAATAGTTTCAATTAATTTTATATATTGTGATTATTGAATAATATTTTGAAATGATTGAGTAGTGAAAAAGTGCGCGAGGCACTGATATGCGCGACGCACTGATAAACCAC